TTAGTTATGTCTTTTACTACACAGGATGCAATTATGCCCAAATTTATACCCTTCATAATGTGGGTAAAATCAAACTATTACCCAGATTGATCCACCCATCTCAAGCATCTAGATTAGAAGTTAAAAAATCGAAGCACCCGTCAAATCATGAAGCTTATTCATCACTAAAGTTATGAAATGTGCTATAAATGTATATAATTTAAAATTATAGACCATTGACTAGGTCTGAAAACTTCATTTCTTTCTGGTCTATCTCTGCTTCTAGCCAGCTTTGTGATTTTGAGCAGCTATTTGGGATAGGTCCCAAACTAAGAGAATTATCTTTGCATCAATTTTATCTCTTAAGTGTTAACCAGTGTTTTGTTTCAGATACTCTGTGATTTTAAGAATTTTATTCTGGGCTGGGTGTGGTGGCTCACACCTGTAATCTTAGTACTCTGGAACACTAAAGTGAGTAGATCACTTGCTCAGATGTTCGAGACCAGCCTGAGCGAGAATGAGATACAGTCTTGCCGTGGCACACTCTTCCTCAAAAAAAAAAAATTGGACTGGGCACAGTGGCTCATGCCTTTAATCCCAGCACTCTGGGAGGCCAAGGCGGGGGGCATTGCCTGAGCTCAGGAGTTCGAGACCAGCCTGAGCCAGAGTGAGACCCTGTCTCAAAAAATAGCTGGGGGTTGTGGCAGACACCTGTAGTTCCAGCTACTCCAGAAGCTGAGGTAAGAGGATCACTTGAGTCCAGGAGTTTGAGGTTTCTGTGAGCTATGACATGACAGCACTCTACCGAGGGTGACAAAATGAGACTCTCAAAAAAAACCCAAAAAGATATTTTGGAATTAATAGGAAGGTACAAACAATTAGGTTACAATGTATTTGTTAGGTAAAGTCCCTGTTGTGGTTGAGTCCCACTACCAGGAGGTGTACCAGTACCCTCGTATTCTGCCCATTTATTCTTCTCTTCTCCCCCTCTCCCCAGCAGAGTCTCACTCTGGGTGGAGTGTGGGGGCGTCATCATACAGCTCACAGACACCTTAAACTCCCAGGCACAGGCAGTCCACTTGCCTTAGCCTCCCCAGTAGGTGGGACTACACATGTCTACCACAATGTCCATCTAGTTTTTCAATTTTTTTTTTTAGTCTCACTCTTACTCAGGCTGGTCTGAAACTCCTGAGCTCAAGCAGTCCGCCCACTTGGCCTTCCAGAGTGTTAGGATTACAGGCGTGAGCCGCCATGCCTGGCCCTTTATTTCTTTCAAGGGCAAGATCTGTTAATGCAGGGGTCTTTGTACCCTAAAATTACATGTATGTTTTATAGGTCACTTTGGGGAAAAGGAAATGCCCTCCATTTTCAGAGAATTCCTCTGACATCTCCCACCGAAAAGAGGGGGGAAGGTTATTAAGAACCTGCTTTGATGCTACCTTAAATTAAGTAACAACTTTTTTCTTATTTCTACCTCAAATTTTAGCACAATGGACTGGGATAAAGTAGGAATCCCCACAGATGGTGATTCACATGCCATAACCTATCCACCTGCAATTGTTGTTTATATAATTGATCCCTTTACATATGAAAATAAAGATGAGAGCACTAACTCTTCTAACGTATGGACTTTGGGGCTACTTCGATGCTTTCTAGAAATGGTCCAGACTCTTCCTCCACATATCAAGAGTACTGTTTCTGTACAGGTAAGAGTGATAAATGTTATGAGTTACATACATATTTAGAGTTTGATGTCAGAAGTTTGAGATATTACTTTTCTGTATTCAAATTGGTTATCTAAAAGCCAGATTCTGTTATATTGATTTTACTTTAAGTGACATTGTAATGAAATATTAAGAGCTTTTTTTTTTAAGAGACCTATTAAAGGTAAATGTTAAAATCATACCATACCACAGTAAAAATGGGAAATAAAAAGATTACATTACATACATGAAATATTTCTCTTGTAGAAAGAAATTAGTCACAATAATTTGAAGAAATTTTAAATTCTTTATTCTAATGGTGGCATTAGTATAATTGCTATGTAGAAAATTCTTAAGATTTTTAGATAGTCCTTTATTTAGGATCCATTGGTTAAAATGTACTACTAAAAAGCTATCTAATGTGTAGGGAAACAAAATTCTTTAAATTATTATTTAAAGTAGGTTTTAAATTTTCCAGTAAAGTGGTTTTAGAGTTTTAGACCCACAGTTGTTTTTATTCTGTGTTGGAAGGTTAACATTTATAATGTTTTCCTGTATTTCTTAGATTATTCCTTGTCAATACTTGTTGCAACCTGTGAAACATGAAGATAGACAAATCTATACTCAGCATTTAAAATCCCTAGCTTTTTCGGCCTTTACCCAGTGTCGGAGACCACTTCCAACGTCAACCAATGTGAAAACATTGACTGGGTTTGGTCCAGGTTTAGCCTTGGAAACTGCTCTTAAGAGTCCTGATGTAAGTATATTTTTCCTGACCAAAGTTATTAAATGACTGTACATTTTATGATTTTATGCAAAACTGAGTGAAATTCTTTGTTTACCTCTCCTTTTCAATGATTTTATGAATGAGTAGATAATTACATTTTCTAAAAACATTTTTCTATGAATGTGTAGTACCGTAATTTTTTATTTTACAGAGACCAGAGTGTATTCGACTTTATACACCTCCTTTTATTCTGGCTCCAGTGAAAGACAAACAGACAGAGCTAGGAGAAACATTTGGAGAAGCTGGACAGAAATACAATGTTCTTTTTGTGGGCTACTGTTTATCACATGATCAAAGGTGGATTCTTGCATCTTGTACAGATCTGTATGGAGAACTTTTAGAAACTTGTATCATTAACATCGATGTTCCAAATAGGTACTTATATTTTCTTAAGTATATCATTATATCATCTCATTTTAAAAAATTCATATATATGCACACATTATGTATTATTTTTAACGACTAGAAAGCCATTTGGAAGGTTGTATACATTAAAATATTAAGACTTGGATTGTGGGTGTCTTCTGTAGTGAATAATTTTATTTTTTATTTTTTTGTGACAGAATCTCCAAGCTGTTGTCCTGGGTAGGGTGCCATGGTGGCATTATAGCTCACAGTAGCCCCCTCCAATTCGTGGCCTGAAGTGATCCTCTTGCCTCTCAGTTTTTCTACTTTTAGTAGAGACAGGGTCTCACTCTTGCTCAGGCTGGTCTCGAACTTGTGAGCTCAAGCAATCCTCTCATGCTGGCTTCCCAGAAGAGTAATTATATTATACAATTAAGATAATTAAAAATAATTTTAATCTCTTTTACATGAGAATAAAACATTAAGATCCCAAAGTTCTGTGTTATAAAGGTTGAGGCAGTGATTTTAGCTGAAAATTTTTGAAACATGGAATGAGAAGGCCCTTCTGCAATTAAACAGTCTACTAAAGCATCTATAGAACATTTAAACTTCCCTCATGTACCATCTAAGTTATAGACCCTAATTAACTGAGTTCATTTACCTTACTAAAATAGTTGACTGAGGGCTGGGCACAGTGGCTCACTCATGTAATCCCAGCCCTCTGGGAGGCCGGGGCAGATGGATTGCCAGAGCTCACAAGTTAGAGACCAGGCAGAGCAAGACACCACCTCTAAAAATAGCCGAGTGTTGTAGTGGGTGCCTATAATCCCAAGTACTTGGGAGGTTGAGGCAAGAGAATTGCTTGAGCCCAGGAGTTGGAGGTTGCCGTGAGCTATGACTTTACAGCACTCTACCAAGGGTGATAAAGTGAGACTATTTCTAAAAAAAAAAAAAAGTTCTATTATTTTAAGTTTAGGAAATTGGTTATATGCAGAAATACTTAATGATTATTAGGCCTTAGTGTTGCTAGAGAAACAATGTAGAAACATTAATTTTGTATTATTATTTATAAATTTTTATTGACTATATTAAAAAATCTTAGAACAGTGCTTCCTACCCTACATCTTTGACACAGTTTTGATTTTTTTTATATGATATTTGTGCTAATTAAGCTTTGGAAAGAATATACTTGCTTATCTGTGAATGTTGACGAAGAGAGTAGAAAAAGATAGTATTGCCATTTTACTGTCTTAATAAAGTAGAAGTGAGTTAATGGTTAAAAGGTACAATGATGGAGTCAGAGGAGTCAGAGATCTGGGTTCACATTTTCAACCCTGCCACTTATTGGTCATGTAATCTTGAGAAAAGCTTACTTATCTGTAAAATCTAGAGGATGGTTTTATTTATCTCATAGCATTGTTGAGATGAAGTGAAATATTGTATGTAAATTAATAAGGCACAGTGCTTTGGTACTCACATGGTAGATACTATTGCTCAGCTACATGGTGCTTGTGTTACATACTTGCCTAATAAAGGACACGTATGCAGAAAGCATACAACAATATTGCCTGGTCCTAGAAGTGTGGGGTTTTGTTGGGCATTCTTAACCTACATGTAGAACGGGGATTGGACTGCTACAACTGATGGGCCAAATATGGTCACTTCCTGTTTGTTTGGGTATCATCTGTGGCTGCTTTCGTGCTGTAGCAGCAAAGTTAAATCCCTGAAACAGAATCGTGTTGACCTGTAAAACTTAAAGTATTAGCTCTTTAAAAAGAAAATTCGCAGTGACTCCTGCCTATAGTCTAAGCACTGTAGGAGCCTGAGGCTGGAGGATTGCTTGAACTCAAGAGTTTGAGACCAGCCTGAGCAAGAGCAAGACCCCATCTCTACTAAAAAGAAAAACTAGCTGAGTGTTGTGGTGGGTGCCTATAGTCCAGCTACTCAGGAAGCTGAAGCATGAAGAAGGCGTAAACCAAGGAGTTAGAGGTTGCTATCAGCTAGGCTGATCCCCTGATACTCTTGCTTGGGGAATAGTGTGAGACTCTGTTTCTCCCAAAAAGTTTGCTAGTGTAGAGCATTGTTTCTAATGAATTGAAGTGATTTGTGGACACTCAAAAAAACCTAAGATTATATTATATTATGCTATCTATTGAGAAAACATAAACTTACTACCAAGCCTATGGTTTTATGTATATTTTTGTTGAGGACTTGCGTGAGGTGTAAAGCATTAAAATTAAGAGACCGTTTTTTCCCAAATTTGAGCCCTCTTGAAATGTCATATAAATATTAGAAATGTTTATGACTGTCTTTTCCATATAATAGAGCTCGTCGGAAAAAAGGTTCTGCTAGAAGATTTGGGCTACAGAAACTTTGGGAGTGGTGCTTAGGACTTGTACAAATGAGTTCATTACCATGGAGAGTTGTAATTGGTCGTCTAGGAAGGATTGGTCATGGAGAATTAAAAGGTAAAATTGTGCTTTTATTATTTATATTTTTGCTTTATCTTAATTCATATGCTATTCAGACTACATCTACATATATGCTGAATAAAAAGCAGAAAATGGGCTCAGCGCCCACAGCTCAGTGAGTAGGGTGCCAGCCGTGTAACACTGAGGCTGGGGGTTTGAGCCCAGCCCAGGCCTGCTAAACAACGACATCTGCAACCAAAAAATAGCCGGGCATTGTGGCCAGTGCCTGTAGTCCCAGCTACTTGGGAGGCTGAGGCAAGAGAATTGCTTAAGCCCAAGAGTTTGAGGTTGCTGTGAGCTGTGATGCCATAGCACTCTACGGAGGGTGACAAAGTGAAGCTCTATCTCTTAAAAAAAAAAAAAAGGGCAGAAAATAAAATTTTTATTTTGTTTTTAAAGAAGAACCACATATGTCTAGGTGACAAATGGCTTAATTCAAAATTTAAAATGACATTTTACTATTTTTTGATTTGAATATCAGTCAGTGTCATTACCACAATTATTTGTTGTCTTTGATTTTTTTCTACTTTTAGCTTGTTCACGTCCTCCTCTGTTCAGCAAATACTAACTGAATGTGGTATATGCTAAAGTTGGGGGATAAAGGATATTGAGTAGCATCAACAGTATGACTTTTGGCTTGAGAATGGCTTCTGTTTAAGGAATATACTAATTTAAAAATCATGTACTACTTCTAACAATGCTGTTCCTTTGAAGATATATGTATGTATTTTTATTGATGCCCACAGATTGGAGCTGTTTGCTGAGTCGTCGAAACTTGCAGTCTCTAAGTAAAAGGCTCAAAGACATGTGTAGAATGTGTGGTATATCTGCTGCAGACTCCCCCAGCATTTTGAGTGCTTGCTTAGTAGCTATGGAACCTCAAGGCTCTTTTGTTATTATGCCAGGTTAGCTATCTTTAGTTTATATCAGATTTAATTCTTAATACACTTAAGTTTTTGAGCATTATATAACATTTATTCTTCATTTTTAAAAGAAAATGCCTTTCATTCTCTATTCAGATTCTGTGTCAACTGGTTCTGTATTTGGAAGAAGCACTACTCTAAACATGCAGACGTCTCAGTTAAATACCCCACAGGATACATCATGTACTCATATACTTGTGTTCCCTACTTCTGCTTCTGTGCAAGTAGCTTCAGCTACTTATACCACTGAAAATTTGGATTTAGCTTTTAATCCCAACAATGGTAGGTGAATTGTTCTAAAAGATTTTTAAGCATTGACCATTTTGGTAGGCTGAATAATGGCCCCCGAAACATATTCATGTCCTATGCCTGAAACCTGTGAATGTTACCTCGTATTACAAAAAGTGGACTTTACAGATGTGATTAAGTTAAGGATCTTGAGATGAAGAGATTATTTTAGATTATGCTGATGGGTCCTAAACAATAATAACAAGTATCCTTATAAGAGGGAGGGGGAGGGAGGTTTGACTTTATAAGGAAAAGGAGAAGATCATGTGGTGGCGTCAGAGGAAAGCACATTCAGAAGATGCTATGCCACTGACTTTAAAGATGGAGGAAAGTGCCATGAGCCAACGAATACAGTTCTCGATGCGGGAAAAGACGAGGAAACAGATACTCCCTTAGATCCTTTAGAGGTGTGCAACCTTGCCAACAACTTGCCTTCAGCCAATGAAACTAATCTTAGACTTCTGGCCTACAAAACTGTAAGAATAAATGCGTGTTGTTTTAAGCCAACAGTTCATGAAATTTGTTAAAACAGAAACTGGAAACTAATGCCCCCACTTTTCTACTTTATTAGTATCAGAACTGATGTTATGAATTATCTCATAATCGTTACATATTTATTTGTATTTATTTTTTTTGAGACAGTGTCACAGTTTGTCACTTGGGCTAGAGTGTAGTGGCATCATCATAGTTCACTGCAACATCAAAAGTCCTGAACTCAAGTGATTCTCCTGCCTCAGCCTCCCAAGTAGCTGAAACTAAAGACAGATGTGTACCACCACGCCCAGCTAATTTTTCTCTTTTTTATAGGATAGGGGGGTCTTGCTCTTCCTTAGGCTGGTCTCAGACTCCTCGCCTCAAAGCAATCCTCCTAGCATTACAACAGGCATGAGCCACTCTCCAAATCTTTACTTATTTTAAAAGGTAATAGTTGTTCATAAAAGATTAATACAGGTTTATGCTTATGCTTTTGAAATACCTGTATATAAGCTCATTTTATGTCTCTTTATATATCAATTTGTGCCAGGCCTGCTGGCTCACACCAGCCCTTTGGGAGGCTAAAGATTGCTTGAGGCCAGGAGTTGAAGACCAACCTGGGCAACATAGCAAGACTCTGTTTCTACAGAAAAACAAAAAAATAAGCCAGGTGCAGTGGTCCACATCTGGAGTCCCAGCTACTTAGGAGGCTGAAGCAGAAGGATCCCTTGAACCTAAGAGTTTGAGGCTGTGGTGAATTATGATCTACCACTGTATTGCAGCCTGCGTAACAGAGTAAGACCCTGTCTCTAAAAATAAAAAAAAATTAAATTTTTAAAAAAAAAAATTAATTTAATTAAAAAATAAAATAAAATAAAATATAATCCTGACTCACCAAAATAATAATATAAACTGCCAGAGTAGGAGGTACTTTGCACAACTTTTCTTTCTGGGGGGGACAGAGTACTATTCTAGGTGAACTTACAGATTTCTCTTTAATAGCAGAGAAAATAAGTAATTGGTTGTTACTCTGAGCTACCTTAAAAAATGTCACATCTCTAAAATCACAAGTCTGGGTATTTTTCTCCCTCCTTTTAGTGTGTTATATAACTTTACTATTTTTTTAAATAAACAAAGGATAGGGTATTAATCATGAATACAGTAATCCTCCCTTATCTGTGGTTTTGCTTTCTCTGGTTTCAATTAGTCGTGCTTCAGTAGAATAAGATATTTTAAGAAGGTAAAAGGGAGAGGCCACATTCATATAACTTTTATTATAGTACATTGTTGTATATTTCTATTTTATTATTATTAATCTGTGTAATTTATAAATTAAACTTTATTATAGGCATTTATGATTAGGAAAATATATAGGATTTATGGAATTTGGCACCATGTAGAGTTTTAGGCATCTACTGGGGTGGAGTATCTTGGAGCATATTCTCTGTTGACAGGAGGGAGGACTCCTACAGTCTCATTTTATTTTTTTATTATTTTTTTTTATTTTTTGGCCAGGGCTGAGCTTGAACCTGCCACTTCCGGCATATGGGACTGGTGCCCTACCCATTTCCTACATACTGTGTTTGCTTTGTGTTAGTTTCTTTTTTTTTTTTCTTACAGAGTCCCACTTTATCACCCTCGGTAGAGTGTCATGGTGTCATAACTCACAGCAACCTCCAACTCCTGGGCTTAGGCAATTCTCTTTCCTCAGCTTCCCGAGTAGCTGGGACTACAGGCACCCACCACAATGCCTGGCTGCAGTTTGGCCGGGACCGGGTTTGAACCCACCACCCTCGGTATATGGGGCCAGTGCCCTACCTACTGAGCCACAGGCGCCACCCTGCTTTGTGTTAGTTTTCTATTGCTGTAACAAAGTATTACACCAGGGGTATCCAACCTGTAGCCTGTGGGCTACATGCTGATTCTGTGAGGACTTTTTTGGCTTATCTGTGGTGTTGGATATCACAGAAAGTATACATAGACGTTTTTATTGCTAATCGGCTTTCATTAATGTTTGTATATTTTATATGTGGCCCAAGACAACTTTTATTTTTCAAATGTGTGGCTGAGAAATAAAAAGATTGGACACCCCTGTTCACATTTAGTGGCTTAAAACAACATGTGTTTATTATCTTACAGTTCTGGAGATCAGAAGTCCAAAATGAGTCTCCCTGGGCTAAAGTCAAAGTGTCAGCAAGGTTGATCCCTTCTGAAGGCTCTAAGGGAAAATTTGTTTTCTTGCCTTCTAGAGGCCACCTGCAGTCTTTGGCTCATGGCCACTTCTCCATCTTAAATGCCAGCAGTGTAGTATCATAACATCCCCTTCACTAACTCTAACCCTACTGCCTCCCTCTTATTAGGACCCCTGTGATTACATTGGAACCACCCGGATAATCCAGAATAATCTCTCCATCTCAGGATCCTTAGCTTGATCATATCTGCAAAGTCCTTTATGGTAACATATTCATAGATTCCTGCAATTAGGATGTGGACATCTGGGGGGGCATTATTTAGACTACCACATACTTGTTTATGCATGATTATTTATATGGCCTTTAGCACAAGATTTGGCACATGGTAGACACTAAGTAAATGCTGGTTAAATTAACCCATTTTCCTTAAAATTTATTCATTTAACTTTTTTGGTAAATGACCATAGGGTATTGAAAATGGAGTATTTAATTTCTTTTCTTTCTCCTGGTTTAGATGGAGCAGATGGAATGGTTATCTTTGATTTGTTAGATACAGGGGATGATCTTGACCCTGATATCATTAATATTCTTCCTGCATCTCCAACTGGGTCTCCTGTACATTCTCCAGGATCTCATTACCCCCATGGTGGTGATGCTGGCAAGGTAACTTTGTTTTAAAAGTTTAGTTTATCAAAATAAAAAAAAAAGTTTAGTTTATCTATAAAGTCATTCATTAACTTAGTAATGTATTAATATATGAAATAGAACACTGTTTTTTCCTTAGAAATTACAAAGTGGGGGGGAGGGAGAAGGGAAGGGGAAATGGGTGGAGGGAGGGGGTTTGGAGGGATCACTTCTGAGGTTTATCTTATAGTGAATCTTTCTAAGAGTAGAATTGTGAACGTTTTAAAACAATAACTGAGAAAATGACATGAAGGCTGTGTTGACCAGTTTGACGGAAGTAGTTCGGATGGCATGTGAAAACCCCACACTGTACCCCAGAAGTGCATTAATGTACATAGTTACCATTCAATAAAAAAAAAAAAAAGGAAAAAAAAATTACAAAGTGAAGGTAACACACACATTTATTCCTCATAGACATCAATGCTTTGAATTGTACATTCTTAAGAGGGTCTCTAAGGCTCTGCTTTCCCTTTAATCTATATTTTCTAGATGGCTTGGTATTAGTCCTCCCTTTGTAGTTTTAGTGTCACTTCATGATATCTTTTACTCAGGTATAGGATTACAGTACCTTTGAGAATTATTATATGACTTTAAGGGCTGTCATTCTCAGCAGGTCTGTAACAAGGAACAGAATAGAAATACTCGGGTAGGTAGCCTGCTGTGAGCAAGGCCTTGGAGACATACAAAAATGGAGACACTATGAAAACTTTACTTGTCATTAAAGAGTACCCTGATACTGAGGTACAGAAAAACCAAGTACTAACTCTGAAAGAATGGCAAGACAAGTGGGTAAACCCCAGAATTTCATTTCATTAAGAATAAGGACATCAGTAAGAAGTATTTGGTATATAACAGAGAAATCCTCTATCAGAAACTGACTTTGAGATAGAAATAATACAGATTATTAAAGAAATGTTTTCTTGATATTTTCCTTAAGAAAACATGATTTTCTTAAAGGTGAGAGTAGAAAGAGGGCATTTTTTCCTCTTTGTGGAAAAGCATTGAGATGAAATGGTTTGCAGACCTAGGACACAGTGTAGTTGGTGTGGAAATTTGTGAACTTGGGATATGAGAATTTTTTACAAAACAGTCTCTCTTACTCAGATGAACCAATCACAGAAATTCCTAGAGACAAAATTTTTTTTTTTTTAGATAAAATATTTTTAGAAGTTCTTCAGGGACCATTTTATTGTATTGTTACAACATTTTTGATCTTCCTAGAACAAATATTAGCAAATTTGATAGGATTTGGGGTAGAGGAGCATTAGTGGCCATTAATCCAGGTGATTGTGAATGCTATGCAGACATAATGTCCTTGCTGAGAAAAAGGTTTCATTACCTACTGGCTGTTTTTTCTTATGATCCAAGTAAACATGCAGGCCCACAATTTTATGTTCTAGAAGCTGAAATTGACAGGTGTTTCGGGCTCGGCGCCTGTGGCTCAAGCAGCTAGGGTGCCAGCCACATACACCTAAGGTGGCGGGTTCCAATCCCCAGCCCGGGCCCGCCAAACAACAATGACGGCTGCAACCAAAAAATGGCCAGGTGCTGTGGTGGGCGCCTGTAGTCCCAGCTACTTGGGAGGC